AGGACTCCTTCTGCTTCTTCCTGCAGCTGTTGCCTGAGCGTACAGGTGCCCGTTCAGTGCCAAGAATTCCATGAGCGTTTGGTTCAGTTCAGGTGCATCCGTCAGGATCCTCTGCCTTGGGTTCCTCATGCCTTCTACTTACATATCCTGCCAAGATACCCTGCCTTCCCTGCCTGCCCACTTGCGTGATGAGGTCTCGGCGGCCTGAACCGTGTGGAGGAGCTGCCGTCGTGGCAGTCTGTCGGGCATGCACTCCCTTAACCCTCAGGTCTCATTTGCTGGTGATGCTGTGGCCGCTCGATGCTCAGTTTGGTCTGCCTCGTAGTGTTCTCCTGGTGCCTGCTTTCTAACCCTTCTGCCTGACCCCATCAATTTCCTCCCTTGCCCCTGAGGTCTCATCTGCTGGTCGTGATGCCATGGTCGCTGGATGCTTGGTTTGACAACATCGGTGGCCTGAACCTTGGGTCTCTCCTGCCGTCTGCGCTTCTGGACCCTTTAGACCAGGTCGCCGCTTCGACTACAACCCCGTATGACTTGGCTGGGATCTCGTGGGATTCGGGGGTTGGTCGCCGATGGGTTGATGCTGTTGAACTAAGGTCTGTGCTGATCCGGAGGATGCTGGTGCTTCTGATGACAAGGCTGTGCGTCGTTCCGCCTGTGCTTTCTAGCATCTTCTAGCGTGTTTGTTAGTTAGAATTAGAATCCGTACACGACAGCTGTGGAGTCGCATGTGCTTGTATCCTTTACTTTGCTTATACAGTAATACAGTCTGTCGCCGGATTCTGAAATCAAGAGTGCTGATTCAGGTTGTTAGACTGACAGTCTGAGAAGCAGTCCAAACGGATGTGGGAAGACATTCAATGTCATTTGTCCTGGAAGCCAGTGACCTTCGCAAGTCGGCAGCCGGATGTTTCCAATAACTTCACGTCTTGCAGAGAGACAGAGTAGTACGGTTGTGCAAGAGGACTACAGATAGATCGAGTCTGACAATGCCCAGCCATGGCAAGTCCACAATCTTCCAAGACTGTGCTCGTACATCTGACTGGGCTGGGCACAGGCACCTGGAAGTTTGGTTCTGAGAAACCGAACGCAGTGGAGCTGAAAGCATGGGTGTCCGAGAAGGTCATTTGGGAGTTTCGCCGACTGTACAGTGTGCTGACTCCTGAGCGCACCAAGTTAGACCTGAGAAAGGTCGTGTACCGGCACAAGGCTGAGTGGGAAGTCCTGTGGCGGAGCTATGGGGTGTCAGTGTCTGAGGCTTTCTATCCCAACAGGCATTCGCTGGAGCGAAGGGGAAAGCCTGTGTCTGTCGACACGCATGAGGAAGACGGCCTGACCACAATCGCAGCACTGGCACTTCTGACTGATTGTGCCTTGTACCGCAAAAGGAAGAAGGACCGCGACCACTCGCAGGCCTTCCTGAATGCGTTGGTGGCAGCACTGCTCCCTTCGGAGGCTGTCCGAGAGCCTGAGGAGTTCTTGGCAACAACACGCGGCTGTCGCAATGAGCCACGGTGCCTTTGCATGGACGGCCTGAAGACTGAGATGGAGTCCTGCAGTTCCTGGGGCTGGTGTCTCGTGGAGTCCAAGAAAGCAGGCCTCAGCTGCAGCGCCGTGAACGTGGTCCACGTTCATATGCTGAGGAGTTTGGCTGACATGCTGGCTCGTGCAACAGCTGCCCTGCCACCTGCTGACATGAGTAGCTTGGCTTGGACTGAGTGGGGTGTTTCTTGGGCTTGAATGTTGCAGGCCGCAAGATTTCATCAGACATGTGCCGAGTGTGACATTTTCATGCCGAGGCAAATGCCTGAAGCTCTGGGGCATAAAGAAGCGCCTGCGACTTGATGAAGATCTGAAAAGGCATTTCGTATCCGACGGCGTGCAAGCAGGAGCATTTCGTTCTGCCAGCCAGGGCGTGCGCCAGGCTGGGTTATGGAAGCCGACGAACAAGAAGAAGCAAAAAAGCTGCCAAGGGGCAGCTATACGCTGGCAGAATGAGGATCTTCAAGCCTACATGGCATGCTGTCACGAACAACTTTCTGATGTGACTTGCCGCATGTATGAACACATTTTGGCTGAGCTCTTTTTAATTCCCTGGAGGGCGACTAGAGACACGTGAGGGATGAAAGAGTTATGGTAAATATGACCCTGCCCAGGCCACCGTCATCTCGATCAGTTCCGATGGCAAGAGGCTGGGGCAACCGGCTGAGGAAACAACGGTCTATGCTGCGTGGAACGCTGACTGTGATCTAGCAGCCTGGTTGCCGCCAATGGTGCCCTGTCTGTCAATGCTTTTCATTTTCATTGCAGGGAAAGGTAAAACATGAGTTCCATCCTAGTTTCGCCAAGCCCATATCAGGGNNGCTCCAAAGCCCCAACGCTTGCAACCACGAACACCCCCAGACCCTCGCGCCAAAAATATTAACATCAGCATAAAGCCCTCGAACCTTGGAAGCCCTGAAGCCCCAAGGCCACAACAGAGCTGTAAAGTAAATCCTAGGGCCCTACGGCCCCCTGAAGCGTGCAAGCCAGGTGTCTAAAGACTTTCATGGTGGCCCTGCTGTCGACGGTGACATGGAGATGCTGAAAGCCTATCAGCAGGAGTACAAGAATCACACTGCCAGATTCTTCCAACAGAGTGAGGCTGCGGAGCCTGATGCAAAAAAACAGAAGACACAGACTCTCCAGAGGCTGAAGCAAGCAAAGCTTCCCAACAAGGACTGGGGTTGCTGACACAAGCAGTCGATAGTAAAGTCTAAACCCTAAACCCCTAAATTCTAGATACAACATTTAATTCAAATGAGGGATTTGAACAAGGAGCAGCTTGTCATGCTCGACAAGGCCATGA